CTCGTGGTCTCCTGCCGTCTTTTTGAAACTAGGCGACCATCAATAATTTTCTCAAAGGATGCCAAACAAACAAACAAACCATTGCTGCATCTCCGAAAAAATGAAAAAGCACTGCAGTGTTTGGATGCGCTGTGTTTGTCTGAGATGAGTTCTACTTAGAGTACTGTACATGAAACACGGTGTGCTCATGGCATTCTTAATAGTTCAGATGTTTTTCAATTAGGTGCACCTGGAAAATGCACATGTCACATACGTGCTGCTTGCAGATCATGTGAACATCGCTTCCTATTTGCACCACAAGTTGTGCGTCTCCACTGGAAATGACAAACTTACACCCTAAGTTTATTGGCATTTCTTCCAAGGCGCGCGCTCAAAACTTTTAATAGAACTATGGCGCTTGATACCGAAACTTCATACCGAACTTAATTTTTTTATCGATATTGACAATGGTACTGTATACGGTCAATAAATAACGATACCGATTTTAGCGCTCAGCCCTGTTAATGCATTATATTAATATGTACAAATTCCATTAACAATATAACATATAATATATATAATATAATATAGCTACAATCTTAGCTAATTTTAAGATGAATAAATGCATCTTTAGATTTAAATAATTTATTTATAAACGTAACTCAATGAACCAAAGCTAACATTAATTAACAGTTATAAATCACTGAATTCATTAACTACTATCAGTAATCTCAGTTAATAAATACTGAATAAATTTATTGTGCATTGTTGGCTAACATTAGTTAATACATTTAATGTTAATTAGGGGGCCTTATTCCACAATGCTACCTATTAATAGAGTATAAAGAGAAAAAACCTACAGTATGCTTTCCTAATTCCAACTCAAATAATGCATCATGTTTGTTAGCTCAGCTCAAATATATGAATTGAATTTGGATTCTCCCTTTAGGTCTCCTCAAAATTACATCTATTCAACACATTGATATATTAAAGATGGTTGTGTTTAATTTGTCACTACATTAGGATTATTACATTTAATCTCAGTACAACTCCTAAACTCAAGTTCAGATATGTGTGCAGACATGTGTCCATGTTAGCGAGGGTTAGTTGTTGTGTATGACGTGTGAAATGTCCTAAGGTGAACAGAGCTCAATAATGAGCCACATAAATGCTGAAGAGCTACTGTTTCCTGTAGGTTTAACTACTCGTCAGACTGTTTTGAGTTTCATTGGAAGATCTGTTCAGATCTGTGTGGCGCCTCGGACTCTTTAAAGTAGAACTTGAGAGCTGTTTTAAAATTCAAAAGCCCAGTGTTAGGTTAACAACAGGAAAGAAAAATGACTTTATTAGCCTAGTAGCTGCACTGTTGATTGGAATTTAATTGTTAAAACTGTTTGCAGGAATATATATGGAAATTGAAACACATTCACTAGTTTAAATTTCTAAGTCATATGACATTTATTAAAACCTAACCTAATTATCAATATATGTTAGTAGCACTTTGCAATTGTCAGTTTCTTTGAATTGATAGTTTTGTGCTTGAGTAAACTTAATATTTGGTTTATTATATAAATAGAGTGGAGGAACTATGACGTCACCTTGTCGGCCAATCGGCTGCTAGCATAAAACTGGTTCCCTCAATAAAATCCCATAGACTAGAATAGATTTCCCATAGACTTTTCAAAGTTTGCAAATAATAAGCTCTGTGTTCAAACACTGTTCATCACACTTACACATTTTGTCCGACCAGATAATCCTCACACGATAACATAACTTTGACCACTTTTGGATCTTAAATGCAAACGGAAGAACTAAAAAGTCAACAATAGGTTATAAACGGACTACACTGACTACAGGGCGCTCGCCTGTGATGTCAGCACCACCCTGCTAACGACACCGTTTTAAGCTTGTTTTAAATGCTACCTAAAATAAATATAGCTTAAAGGGGCTAAAAACTTTGATCTTAAAATGGTTTAATATTTTTTATTAGCTTTTATTGTAGCCGAAATAAAACAAATAAGACTTTCGCCAGAAGAAAAAAATATGATCAGATATACTGTGAAAATTTCCTTGCTCTGTTAAACATTTTTTGGGAAATTTGTGAAATATCATAATAAAAAAAAATTCAAAAGGGTGCTAATAATTCACCGATAATTCTACTGACATCAACTGTATGTTAGTGTAAAAGAATCACATTAAAATGTAGTAAATGTTTATAGATTTTTACAAATGTATTTACATATTTGATTTACTGAGAGCAGAAAAGTGACAGGCTGTACTATGTAAAACAGTTTCTTAATGAAATTGCTTTATTAAAACAAATGAATCTTTAAGTCTCTTTTATTTACAAACAACATGAATGCCCAATTAGAAAAATACTACAAACTGTAAAATACTTAAATACCAAAATAACAAAAAACAAACAGCAGATGAATCCAAATGCCTGACGCAAGCTGTATATTTAAAGCTGGCTGTGTTCCAGACCAGTTTAGCTCGATGACGTATAATGCCTCCGACATCGCCTGTAGTCACCATTTAGCAACTTGATAGCAACAGTGTTTTTAAAGAAGCATAACTGATTTAAAATATCAAGAGTGTGATGTAACTAATGTGATCAATCTCATAGAATAAATCGTGAATGTATCTTGTGTTTGTGTTTGCCACAAACCTTATTTAAACGATTGAACCAAAATCTCATTCAAAAAACCCACTGACTTTGGGATGAGGGAACCGGGACTGCTAAAATAATGAACTCGCTTCTGGGTTTTTGCATACAAATTGATGTCATAGTTCCTCCACTCTATAGGTGACATTTCTAATTCAAAATAAATTCAATTAAAAATATTCTAAATAAAATGAAGTAATTTACAGAATAAAATGGCAATTGGTTAAATTAACAAAAAGGTGATTCATGTTTTATGTACATTTCCAGTAAACATTCATTATATCTTAAGAAAATGGTTTAACTTTTATGGTTTCTACTTTAATTTTACTTTTTAATCTTCAGTTAATCTTCAAAGTTAATTGTAATTTCATCTTGTACGAATGCATTACTGAAATGCAAAGGTGCAATGAATGATTAGTCTTACTAAGGCTAACAAATGTAAAAATTGATATTTCTTATTGTCAGTAGGCAAATGCTTTAGATAAAGTTAACAAATAAGACCATATTATAAAATGCTACATAGGACAAATCAATATTTGCAAAGACATTTTCCCTTTTTGATGCATGTTGTGTGTTTATGATGTCTAAACCTAAGAGATCAATTTGCCACCTTTTTAGGTTCTATTTTTTTCCACTCATTGCCTCCTAAACAGCTCTTTGATCCTGTCTGACTTATGACCTTTTGCCAACTGTGACTCTGACAGCCATGCTCAGAGCCCAAAAATGATCTGTGTGCCAATTCGCATACTTATACTATGTTCTAAATAGTATATACTATGTTTTTCATGAAGAAAAAGTAAATACTTTTGAGTATGTAACAAGAGTATGTTAGTTTTGGGACATGCTACATCATAAACGGACTTAGTTAAGTCACCCATCAATCATCTCGACACATCATCTTCATTTCTTTAAGGTTAATTACCTATACCATATTAAAGCAGCAGCAGCAGGTCAATATGCCATTTGTGAGTCTTTAGTGCAGAGAAATCTCATCAGGTCTTTATATAATATACATTCCAAACACCTTACACAGAAAACCTGATTGAAATATTGTCCAGTTGGTTAGATATTAATTCAAAGTTATTCGAACTTTACCAAAGGCTCTCTACACTGTAAATAATGGCAGTGACTTTAACGGTAAAAAACTGTAAAAATGCTACAGTAAAAATCTGTAACCTGGTTAACAGTATGTTTCCTTAATATTAGGGATGCACAATATATCGGCATACAATACAATACAATACAATACAATTGTACAAAACGAAATTTGTTCCAAAAATACAAAAATTGTTGACATTAATATAGATCTTTTTAGCTGTTTCCCCATCAGTTATGTACATTAGAGATTTATGTTACATCTAATGTTGATAAACTATGTTTATTTGATGACTTTAATTTTATACGTTACCATACTTGTGTTTAGTAGCGGAGTGAATGACACTGAGCACCTTCTAAACACTAATACTAACACTATACACTTTTCTGCTTGTGGGAAAAGTTTGTGATGAGCATTGGTTCATTACGTAACTTTCTCATCATCACTTGGGTATGGCTGTGTTACCAGGTTTATGTGTAACAAAAGTAGTGTAACAAAATGTGTAGATGTTGGTAATTTAAAATACAGACATATTACATACATAAATTAATGAAACATGGTAATTTACTGTAAATATGAGAAATTACTTTTACGTTTTGTACTGTATTTTTTAACAGTAAAATACTGGCAACCACAGCTGCTGTTTTTTTACCGTAAATTTTAAGGATTTATTTTTTATAGTGTACTTGACAGTTGGACTCGTGCATGTGCCATATTTGTAGTTTGTTCACGCTTTTCCTCTGAGTTTGTAGTCCTAATCAAATTTTTAGTTTTATTAGTAGTGTATTGTGGGAAATTTTTGCGGTTTGAGAATGTATAGTTCAACACTGAATTTCTAATGAAAATTATAAACCATCCAGGAACCTTTGGCATACTCTTCAACATACTACAATTTGGGACACACTAATTCTATTTTCAAATACTATTTAGGATGGATAGTATGTGAATTAGGATGCAGCATAGATCTAAGTAAAACAAAATGTGATTAGCAGTGTGTGTAAATATAAGCACAGGCTCATAACAACATACATAAGGCCCTGAAGAATTACATAACGGTGAAATCATCATAAGCCATCCAACTAAACAGAAGGATTATTTTCATTGATAGGTATAACCCATAAAATCTTTACAGTGTTAAATCTGTCTGCGGTGCAACAGGCAACCAAAACACCTCACATATGGAGAGAGTTAGGCTTACTTCCTATGTCAAGACTTTTTTTTTTCCCTTCAGTGTGTCCTTTGGTCTATCGCCCCCTTCAATGCAAACACATTCTGCAGCAGGCCAGCATTACATCAGCTGTTGGGACACTGTTGAGTCAGCTTCATGTCAGGCCCAGACTGTGTGTGAGAAGCAGAGAGAAAGAGAAAGAGTGAGAGTTTGTCTTTATCCCAGTTTCTGATACTGAGAGAAACCTGAATTGCTGCAAGCTGGACAAATCTCACAATTGTGTGTGTGTGTGTGTGTGTTTACATTTGCAGCTACTGAAGGCCTTAAGTTAAAATAAGTAAACTCTAAACATTTGGAATGCTGCAGTATTCTTTCTAAACTATTCTGTCTGTGCAGATTATTATTGCTTTTTTAGAGGAATCACAGGTATTAAATGGATAATTTACTCCAACCCCCTTTGTTTAGATTACATTTGAGAACTCTCTCATCCTCCATAGACAGCAAGGTTTAAGTTTAAAAAACAACACATACTAAAAAATATCCTTAGGTTCATCACACCCTGGAGCACTTAAAAAAAAAAAACTTTTTAAACATATTTGTGTGTGTTGAGCATCTGTTAAGACAACGTTAGCACTCTCCAGCTTTGATTATGAGGAAAACTGAATAATTTTGAGCTTTTGTCAGCTAATTTCATCTTTCGAGTTTAAAATAATAATTGGGGCTGCATCAAAATCGGTGACGTAGCGTGAATCTGCGAGTGGAGCGATTACACGTCACGTTTTTTCAGTTGAGTTTGTTACCATTCAGACACATCGCTTTTATCCGTGCTGCTTTGTTCACCTATGTTTAAAATCCTCCAGATTACCAGAAGGGCTAACGGTTGAAATAGATCGGCAAGATACCCTGCTGCACTGCTATCCTCTTTGTCTGCATTCAGACCCAGGGGTTGAGGAGGAGAGAAGCCCCCCTCATTTAAATTGTTTACATGATTATCCTTATAAAGACAACAAATTTAGTTTTTTTTATATGAAATTACAGAAAAAAAAAATAAAGCAGCGCATTAAATGACTGTTTATTTCTTTACATTTTAACTTTGTAAACTATAAAATCTTGGGTCTCTTCACAGTTTGTGTCTCATTTTGTGAGCCAACTGACAACAGTTGTTTACTCCCTTTTTTTTTCCCTGCTCTGCCTGCCACGGCCACTACTCCCTCTGCTCGCAGTGCTCCCATCATGAAGCATTTTTTGAAAAAATTCTGAGGTACACTTGAACTGAAAGAGGGGGCTTTCATGACCCTTTAAAACAGTGGTTCGATTAGAATATTATGAAGATTAAAGAAACAAAAGTAATGACTTTGTTCAACAGTTTCTTGTTTTCAGTGTCAGTATAGGGTGAACGATCATGAGTGTGCATTAAACTCATTATTTTTGTTTTATGTGTGTGCACAAAAGTATTTTGTGTGAAGTTTTAAACCCCTGAAGACACATGGACTATTTTGACTGAATTTTTTGTTTTTTTGACAATGCTTTTTGCTGGATTTGAGAACTGCTGAGGGGCAGAGAGCTGTTGGAATTCTTTTAACAAATCATGATTTGCTATTATTTAAAATGCATAGAGCTTGAAGTCAAAGGTTGCACTCTGTGAGCTACTGACTCTGCATATTGCTTTTTATTTCCCTAACAATTCAGAAAATCAAAACACTGATACAATGACACATTGTGCTACTTCAATGTGGGAACTTTCAGTCAGAACAACAACAAGAGAAGCAACCCGAGTCTTCACTGCTTTCCTGGTGATAAGAAGAGGGGAAAAATGGGAAGATGCCTGTGGATGAACAAAACTTCCTGAAGGCCTGTACCTGTGCTCTCCACTTAAGCTCTGATGCCTTCAAAGCTTGTGAAAGAGTTTACAGGTTGAAATGGATATAAACACAGCCTTAAACTAAATGTTGCATCACTGATTTTTCCCCACAAGGACTTTAAATTCCCCTGATTTGAAGTGAAATCTTGTTCTTCTCATAAATCAGCCAATTTATGTAACGATGGCACTGAGAAAGCTCAAGGAGAAAAGTTCATTCTTATTCAGAGAAAGTGTGTCAGTTTCACTCCAAATATAACTGACAAAGAGCAAAGAAAATGTGAATAATGAGAAGAAAACGTGGAAAGACGAAATTTTAGGTAACACTTTCTATTTTAGATAATATCTACACACTTCAAATAAATTATCAAGCAGTAGCAAATAGTTAATTCATTATTCGTTAAGCATTAACTCTACAGTACATTAATAGATGCAGTTGGATTACATTAATAGTGAGCAGTTTATAAATAGCTTCAAATGCTGTATGCTTAACTTGTTAAAGCAAATTTAAAATAACTGTGTTTTATACTTTGTTAATGATGAATTTTTCATTACTAAATTAAATATTGCATTATTCACAATAATTTAAGACAGTTATTTAAAAAGAGTAGGTGACTTTTTAAGATCATTCAGGATGTAAGTAAATGATTAATGAACTATTCAAATGAACATAAATCTTATTAATATACACTCACCGGCCACTTATTAGGTATTCTTGTTAATGCAAATCTCTAATCAGCCAATCAGATGGCAGCACCTCAGTGCATTTAGGCATGTAGACATGGTCAAGACGATCTGCTGCAGTTCAAACCGAGCATCAGAATTGGAAAGAAAGGTGATCTAAGTGACTTTTAACTTGGCATGGTTGTTGGTGCCAGATGGGCTGGTCTGAGTATTTCAGAAACTGCTAATCTATTGTGATTTTTATGCACAACCATCTCTAGGGTTTACAGAGAAAGATCAGACAAAGAGAAAATATCCAGTGAGTGACAGTTCTGTGGGCACAAATCAGAGGAGAATGGCCAGACTGGTTTTAGCTGATAGAAAGGCAACAGTAACTCAAATAATCACTCATTTCAACTAAGGTATGCAGAAGAGCATCTCTGAACACATTGAACCTTGAGGCAGATGGGCTACAGCAGGAGAAGACTAAACCGAGTGCCACTCCTGCCAGCAAAGAACTAAAGGAAACAGAGGCTCCAATTCGCACAGGCTCATGAAAATTGGACAACAGAAGATTGGAACCATGTCATAAAGCGCAGATAATGTCAGACCATCTTCCTGCATATGACAATGAGTTCACTGTACTCAAATGGCCTCCACAGTCACCAGATCTCAATCCAATAGAGTACCTTTGGGATGTGGTGGAACAGACTATTTGCATTATGGATGTGCAGCTGACAAATCTGCAGCTACTGTGTGATGCTATCAAATCAGTATAGTCCAAAATGTCTGATGAATATTTCCAGTTCCTTAAGGCATAAGGCATTTCTGAAGTTTAAAAGGGGGTCCAACTTCGTACTAGTAAGGTGTACCTAATAAAGTGACCAGTGAGTGTATATAATAATACAATAATAGTTTTTTTGTATGTTAATAAATGCTTTATTATCCAAACTTCATCCATTTATTGTGACCTAATATATAATCTATTCTTTGCACAACCATTTACACCCAAACATTTGTCTCTCTCCATTTCCATCTCAGTCCCCACTCAATCTCCAGACATCCAAAAGCTTTGATGAAAGCCCCTATGCAAAGCACCTGCCAGAGAGGAAGCAAAAACAACAGAGGGGGAAAGAGAAAAATGGACAGAGCAAAGGTTACTGGTTTAAATGTGTCACGTTACTTGCTCTGAGATTTAGCATCTGTCAGGCTATTTAGAAATAAGCCCCACCCACAGCTCCGCCCACAGCCCCACCCAGCCCTCTGCAGCAGAAGCCTTACAGGAAGCTGCATATTCTGGGCTCAGTTCCCTCTGTAGCCACGTCTCGCTTGGCTGAAGCCCAGGCTCACAGGCGGCGGACAATAGCAGGTTTCAACCACACAAAGTTAGCGTTTACAATTCCCTTTCCTTAATGGGATATGGAGCTCAGGGACTGTCTAAATCTCAGCATGTGCTTTTAAAAGAGCATCAAAACACAGATATAAGCTCATATATACATACTGAATAACTACCATGCCATCAAGCATCTGCATAAAGAGTTGTCCTCCCTCTATTTTCAAAACACATCTGTTTGCGCTTAAAGCAGCGCTCCTCTCCTCCAGAGCTGAAGAATAGAGTAAACCTCATCCCTCTCAGCAGCCACATGTGAGAGCCAGGCACAAGGCATGATGGGAAGAGGGCCATCAGACGGCTGGTAAGAGGAAAATAAGGAGAGAGGAGTGGGTGGGAATTGCTAGAAGAAGAGGTCAAAGTTCATACCCTTTAAGGTCAACGTGGGCAGCTGCTACAGTGGCCTGGGTGGCTTTTTTTCTCCATAAAAATGTGCATTGACACCATTCCATTATACACCAGTTCATTTTACCTTCACTCAGTTAACAGTAATCAATAAACTGATTGCCGAAACAATCAGTTAGCAGCAGAAATTTTTATTTTATGCATAGTTTTTTTGTAAATTTATTTATTTTAATAATTAATTTTGAGGGTTTTCTCACCTTTCTATAGGGATTGGACAATGGAGGTTACAGACAGGAAAGTATTGGGAGAAGAGAGGGGAAGGGTCGGCAAAGGACCTTAAGCCGGGAATCAACTTCAGGTCGCCGTGAGCTAGGGATGTAACGATTCACCATGAGTCGGTTGAAAATCGATTTAAATATGTGACGATTAAAACTGCTTGAAATGTTGAATTAATCGCGATACATGTTTTGAACAGAAGGGGTGCTGTTTACAGGGGCAAACTCGCTTTACCTCCACGGTGTCCAGCATATTATATTTCCAACCCCAATTAAACACACCTGAACCAGCTAATCAAGCTCTTTCTAGGTATACTAGAAACATCCAGGTATCTGCGTTGAAGGAAGTTCGAGCTTAACTTTGCAGGACACCGGCCCTCCAGGACCAAGTTTGGACACCCCTGACTTACAATATCAGAACAATGAATATGATGCAGCACAGTGAAATGTTACTGTCATAGACGTCTATACGCAAAAAGCTCATAATAGGCAAACCCATGCCGGAGGATTGGCTGATACAATGCTCCGAGGAGACCTAATGTTACAGAGATCACACGGTGCATCAGTGGTTTCATAGCCAAAGTGTGAACATGTTTTTCAGACTGAAAGAGAAAGCTGTGCAGTTAAAGAACCAGGTAT